GAAGGAGGCTCACCGACCTTACCTAGCGGATCAACTCTACCTCAGATCCCCGGTAAGAATAGATGACAATAAAGCTAGCTTAAGAAAGAATTCTCCTAAGATAGGTTCTAGATTTAGAGTTACAAATCAAAAAAAAATTCAAGGAGTAAACAACATGTAAAATGAAAAATCATATAACATGTTTTATGCCACACAACACTTAGACCGAGAAGTATACAACAATAATTTAATCTACTTTTGGCTTTTGCTTGAAAATATGTATATATTTTTTTAATCAATATTCTTTTGAATTTTTTTCTTTTAATTTTGATTTTGTTATTTTTTTTTATATATAACACTTTCTTTTAGGAGATGCCTTTTTCTTTTCTCTTTTGAATTTTGAAATTCTCACTCTCGGTCACCACCTTATGATGCACCAAATCAATTTGATGTTTTATCCCTCTTAAAGGAGGAAGGCCCATTGGACCCTCGGGAGGAAATAAATCATCAAATTCCTTTAAAAGAATTTTAACCCCCTTAGGTAGAATCTCATGTCCACTCTATGTGGCAGTGCAAATTAGAGTCCCTATACATAATAGGATAAAAGAAGGTTGTTTGATCAAGAGGTTTTGTTTGGAAATGTCTTCTTCTTGATCAACAACTTCTAGGGAGAGGACTTCTTTCTCCCTAGATTTCTCTTTATTCCTAGTTTTCACAGACTTTTTTCCCCTATTTTATTTTTTTATTTTTTTTGCAATCTTTTCTCACTGTCTTTTGAATTTCATTTGTGCTTGATCCTCAGCCACTTGTTGAGGAGAAAGAGGATGAAGCATGAATTTCTTTTCTTTATGTGTAAATGTTATCTCATTAGTAAGGCCATTATGCATGGTTTTCTTATCAAATTACCATGGCCTTCCTAAGAAGATATGACAAGCTTCCATTGGTACTACATCACATAGCATCTCATCTTCATACTTCCCAATGGAAAGTTTGACCTTTACTTGTTGGTCAACTACTAGGTCACCATCCTCATTAAGCCAATGAAGTTGATAAGGTTTAGGATTACGAAAATGCCATCTTTTTAAAAACTGGGTGTTACAAAAGCCAAGCTAAGATAATAGGCAAGCAAGCTTAGTAAACCACTGTCTAGATGCTTGTCTAAGGCCATAGACAGACCTAATTTGCATACAATTTTCTCCCCCTAAGGTGAATATTGGTGTTGGATAGGATAACCTTGGGGAAGATCCATATAAATTTCCTCAAACAAATCACCATTTAAGAAAGCATTGTTGATGTCCAACTGAGCTAAATACCACCCTTTAATAGCTGCCAAAGACAATAATAATCAACAGAAGTTAGTTTTGCATCAGGAGAATATGTCTCAATGAAATCCAAACCTGCTTGTTGGGTGTAACCTTTGGCCAACAATCTGACCTTGTATTTATCAGTAGTCCCATCAGCTTTATGTTTAACTTTATAGACCCATTTACAACCAATTGAGTGTTTGCTAGTAGGTAAAGGAACAATGCTCCAAGTTTGATTTGATTCCATGGCTTTCAATTCATCTGTCATAGCATCCTACCAATGTGGGATTTTGTATGCTTGGTGATAAAATTGAGGTTCAAACTCAGATGAAATGTGACAAATAAATGATTGATATGAAGGTGTTAATCTGTGATAGGAGAAGTGATTGATAATAAGATAAGGAGAATTGGATGGTTTGGAAACTTGATAACACAAAAAAGTGATTTAGGTGAGATGAATTTCTAGAATTTCTCGTTGATCTTCTAACATGTAAATCAACTTGAGGATTAGAAGGTATTGCGGGTTGAAGATTATTTGGTGGATTTGGTGGGGCGGTTATGTGAGGATCATCAAAAGGAATGGGAATGACAGTATCATGAAAAGGACCAAACAGAGGTTGTGTCCATTGGGAAAGGTGAGAGGGAAAAATATTCTCATGAAAGATAACATCTCGGGATATAAAGAACTTGTGTGCAGTTAACTCATACAATCTATAACCCTTGTAACCTGCAGGATATCCCATAAACACAGATGGTATAACTCTTGGAGTAAACTTGTCCCTATGAGAAGTAGGTGTTGATGCATAACAAAGGCAGCCAAATACTCTCAAATCTAAGTAAGAAGGTGCTTTCTAATACAACAATTCAAAAGGAGATTTGAACTTCAATATCTTAGAAGGTATCTTGTTAATGATGAATGCAACAGTGGTGATGCAATAACCCTAAAAGGGAAGGGGCATTCGAGACTGAAACATCAAGGATCTAACAACATTCAATAGATGTTGATGCTTTCTTTCTACAACTGAATTCTGTTGAGGTCTTTCAGGGCAAGAAAATTAATGAATAGCTCCTTTGGACTTCAAAAAATCAGAAAGAGCAAGTTTCTTTGCATTATCTTATGCACTTGATTTTGTTCCTAAACTGAGTATCAACAATTAGAAGAAACCCATAATGATTTTGGGAGCTTCATATTTGTGTTGCATCAGATGAACCCATACAAATCTTGTATGATCATCCACTATAGTCCAGTAGAATCATTTTCCAGCATGTGTAAACTCATGGTATGGACCCCGAGTGTCAATGTGGATTAAATCAAAGGGATAAGAAGAAAAATTGTTGTTAGAAACAAATTTCAATTTGTGTTATTTTTCCAAAGGACAAACACGACAAGGAAAATGTGGAACTCTAGAAGAAATAAGATTGTATTTATTATTGAGTGTTACAAAAGAATCATGAGAAAGGTGGCCTAATCTATGATGCCAAATGTCAAGGGACACAGAATTACAATGAAATTTAAATGAAACAGTATTGAATTGCATAGAATCAGTATGTAAGATGTATAGTCCATTATGTGATTCACCCTTGCCAATTATTAGAGAAAAAAGCTTGTCCTGTATTATGAAAGAATTATCAAAAAATATGATTCTGAGAGAGTGTGCATATAAAAGTTCACTCAATGAAATCAAACTGAATGTAAAGGTGGGAATGTAAAAGACATTGGTCAATATTAACTTTGGAAACAGGTAAACAGAACCTATACCCTCAATTGGAATTCTACTACCGTTAGGTAATGTGACAAAAGAATTCTTGATAGTAGTCAGATCATGAAAAGATTGTTTGGAAAAACATATGTGATTGGTAGCACCCGAGTCTAACAGCCAACATGTGGGAGATGAAAAAGAAGATTTTATAGTGGATAATATGATACCTGAAGTGGGATTTGAATTAACATTGTCAACAGGCATGATTTGAGAGGATAACAACTGAATTAATTGTTGACACTAGGCACTGGTGAGCTGTGTGGTGTTGGAGATGCCGGACACTTGACTTGTATTATTAAAGGAAAAATCAATAACCTAAGCAACAAGATTTTTGGATTTTGCCAGGAGGATATTCGTGAACTTTGAAACATAATGGGCGATCTTTGTTGCCAAATTTTGAACGGTTTGCACCTAAGGATGGATTGGGATTATTCTTAGCAGCAAGAGCCGTATGGGAATCAATAAGAGAAGGAATGGCAATTCCAACTTCTCTTTGCTTCTCATCTTGAACAACTAGAGAAAAAACTTTGTTGATATGGGGAATAGGTTCCATAAGCAGAAGCTATTCACGAATGTGAGAGAAAGATTCATTCAAACCCATCAAGAAAGTCATGACATATTCAATGTGATAGTGATCAAGAAGAAGACTAAGCGCACCATAGGTACAACTACTAGAAGGTTTATATGCTTTTAATTTTTCCCAAATAGATTTCAAATTGGTGCAATATTGGCTTATAGAATCAGTACCTTTAACAATACTCATCAATTCCTTGCGAAGTTGATAAATTCGAGGGCCATTCTTTTATTGGAAGCGATCTTTTAGATCTTGCCAAATCTCAGAAGCTGAAAAAGAATACAAGATGCTGGTAACGATATCCTTAAAAACAGTTATACAGCCACAAGATGACAATGTTGTTACACCGAAGCCAAGCACTTAGTTGAGGATCACCATTTGGTGGGTGAGGAATAGAACCATCAACGAACCCAAGTTTAATCTTGACGAAAAGAGCAACAACCATGGCATGATTCCAAGTAAGAGGTCGAGAAACCAAAGCAATGCCAGGACCATCGGAATGATGGAGGAAAAAAGGATTAGAGAGATCTTCTATGGCAGAATCAAGGAAGAAGGAAAAAGAAATGAATCAGAGTGTATACACTGATACCATATTAGACTTGAGAAAGTATGGAGAAGAATGAAAAAATCAACTTGAGAAGAATGATTCTCAGTTGTGTATTAAGAATTCTGAAACTAGTATTTATACATGAAAAGAGTAACTAACTGATTAACTATCTAACTAATAAAGCTGAAATTAACTAACTATGATACATTATAGTATAGTATTATATTCTTAATTATAAGAAATATAAGATACTTTTGAATGTATTAATTTTTTTTAAATATTGTTAACTTTTTTATGAATCTATTAATACTATTCATTTTTTTTAATAAAAATGAATGCATATATTAAGTAACTAACACTATAAATCAATGGTTGAAAAAATTATCTTAATTTTTGAGTGATGTGTTAAATATAATTATCACTTATGTTATTTAATTTCAAGAGTATTTTTGAAATATAATTTTAAATTATAATTAATTAATTTAATTTCGCTTGTCACTTTAATTAAAGTTTGTGTATTTTGTCTTTCAAATCTATCCAATAAAGCAACAGCCTGTCATCATTTTGTTACCCAATTGGCGATTCAGTCACGTGCGTATCCAACAATGGTTAAATTATTCCCACATTGATTGCCTGCACTCAGGTTCACACATTTAATCTTGTACCGATGATCTAACGGCTAAAATTATTCTCTTATCAAATTTTGAATTTTATAAGGACTGCAAAATAAAACCAAAGGCTCAGATTCAAGTTCGTTCCTCTCCGACCGCAGAGAATCATAATCCGTTAATTAAGGTACGACTTGTATAAATAAATCGAACACTGTTGTTGATGGAACATACGTTTTCTTCTTCTCTTTCTCTTTGTTTGGTATATGAAACAAACAAACTGTAATAGTTTTCCCATTCATGATCCAATCCTCATCCTGTCTTGAAAATTCTATTTTTTTTTCTCTCTCTTCTTCTTTGGTTCCGTATTTCCAAGATTTATCAAAAACACCCAAAAATCTTTGATTTGTTGGCTTTGGTGTTTGTTTTGTTGGAGAGATCAGGGTTCTGAATTCTGGTCCATTTGGTGATCTGGGTTTTGTTCAATCTCATATTTTGTGTTTTTGCTTTTCTTTCTGGATCCTGGGTTGCTTTGAATTTTTTCTTTCCAGGTTTGTATCACTCAGCGTGTGAATTTTGTTGAACTAATTGCTCCCAAGTTTGAATCTTTGCTTCAACTTGAAAAGTGGGCGTGTTTTGTTTGGCAGAGTGGTTAAGCTGGTTTCAAACTTTTGAATAAAAAATAAAACTTGAAAGCTGAAAATGACGATCGTAAGTGTAGAACCTAAGGCAAAGAAGACAAAATCAAGGAAGAGCAAGCCAGTTGCTGATGAGAAGGCACCTTTGATTCCCAAAACTCATGATGATTCAGGGTTTGATGATTTCAATGGTGCTTCATTTTCTGGGGCAGTTTTCAACTTGTCCACCACAATTATTGGTGCAGGGATCATGGCCTTGCCTGCAACACTGAAAAAGTTGGGGTTGGTGCCTGGTCTTCTGGCTATTATCTTCACTGCTTTTTTGACAGAGAAGTCAATTGGGTTCATGCTTAGGATTTCTAGAGCAGGGAATATTACTTCTTATGGGAACCTCGTGGGGGATTCCTTTGGAAAATTTGGAAAAGCTCTGGTGCAGATATGTGTTGTAGTCAACAACATTGGCATGCTGATTATTTACACTATTATTATTGGTAAAGACTATATTCTTAAGGTTAATACATAAAATTTTATGAATTTAATCAGAATGCATTGATAGTGTAAATATTTTGTTGACACTGGCATCTGATCATTAATTGTTCTATATGATAAAAAAAAAGTTGCGTGTAAGGTGATTTCTAGTTAGTTGACATCATAGTTATCAGAATTTTATGATTTACTATTCGAATCTTACAATTTGGTAACCTACCGATACGCATTATAAGATGAATCTAAAATGATTTTATGAAAATCTTTACAGTGATAGTGTATTTAAACTCAAAATTTTGTTTTTGGTGGACTTGTTATCTAATTCATGGGTTAAGGTTTTTGTTGAACCCCTCAATCTGTTTAGATGAGAACTTTGGGTTGTAATTCAGTTGTGTTTTTATATTGAAGGCGATGTGATTTCGGGAACAGCTTCTTCTAGTGGATCTCATCATTCTGGTGTACTTGAAGGGTGGTTTGGAGTTCATTGGTGGACAGGACGTACATTTATTCTTCTTTTCACAACAGTTGCTGTGTTTGCACCTTTATCCTGCTTCAAGCGAATTGGTGAATGTTCTTCTCTTACCTTAATTTAAGTGAAAGATAAAAGCATAATATTAGCACAATTTTGGGTTTTGACTTCCTATGGTTGTGCTTGTGACAATGCTAAGGTGTTGCTACTTGCTACAATGGCTGTTGTCATATCAAATTATTCATTGGAGATTTTGACAGCCAAGATAAGTTAGCATTAAGGCTTGACATAAGCTAGGAATCCCTATTAGTTGCGTTTTAATTTCTATATTTCTCAGTTTTGTGATAGTTTTAAAATATCTAGTTTATGGCAGAAATTAAGCAAACAAGTAACTGAATTTTTAAAAAAAGCTTTTTGTTATTTTGTTGCCATATATTATTGAGTATGACATCTGAGTGGTACGTTGTCCATCTTGTATTTTGGTACCAACATGTTAAATACTTTGACCAATTTTGTTTTTGTTCAAGTTATGTGATGGGACTGTGGGATAGGTATATTGATGACACACTTGGAGTTAGCCCATCTTTTATAACTTGTGTGAGTGCTCTGTGGCTTTTGCAGATTCGTTAAGATACACTTCTGCATTGTCATTTGCCTTAGCAGTGGTGTTTCTTGTTATTGCTGTGGGAATCTCAATTTTCAAGATTGCAATTGGAGGCATTGGGATGCCTAGACTCTTCCCAGTAATTACTGATGTAGCCTCAGTTTTTGAACTGTTCACTGTAACTCCTGTGGTTGTGACAGCCTATCTATGCCACTTCAATGGTATGAAAATTTCTCATACCTTTGTTTGGAAGTCATTATTACCCTTGTTTTTAATGTTCTAATCGAGAACATACATATGTAATTGTAACTTTGTCATTAATTTTAATAACATGAAAAATATTGTGAGGTCAATCCAGCAGATCCTTCCTCAAGCCTCACTCTTGTCCTAGTCCAACTAATTTGAAAAGAAAATATCACTGAAAATAAAATGGTTCGTACCATGCATATGAGTTTATGATTGACTAAGTCCACCATGGTACTAAACTGTGACAGTGAAACCATTTAGTTTCAGAATTGTTTTCTATTTCATTTTGTTTTGATTTTGTTCTTGTTTTTCAAATGTTTATATAGAAAACAGTGAAGACGTGTTTTTTAGTGTTTTCTACTTTCACCTTTTCTTGTACAAATTTTAGAAAACTATAAACAAACAGAATGACTTATGCTTGGTTGCTTAAAGTGGTGACAGAAATTTCAAGAGTATTTAAGTACTATTAGACATTGTTGAAAATGTTCCAGTTACGTGATATCATGACAACACATAACAGGAGTTAGCTATATACTGATCCACCTGTAAGCTTCATGAATAAATTGTTTGATGTTTTCATTGTGTGCACTTTTTTGCAGTAAACCCTATAGATAACGAACTTGAGGACTCCTCACAAATACATGGGATTGTGCGTACTTCCCTTGGTCTATGTGCTTCAGTGTACATGCTGATAAGCTTCTTTGGGTTCCTCCTATTTGGTGAAGGAACTCTTGATGATGTGCTTGCCAATTTTGACACTGATCTCGGAATTCCTTTTAGTGCTGTGCTTAATGATGCTGTTCGTTTTAGCTATGCTGCACATCTTGTTCTTGTATTTCCAGTTGTTTTCTTCTCTGTGAGGATCAACCTAGATGGTCTCCTGTTTCCATCAGCTAGGCCTTTGGTTCTGGATAACTTCAGATTTGTATCAATTACCATTGGCCTTATTGTTGCTGTCTTCTTGGGAGCCAATTTCATACCAAGCATTTGGGATATTTTCCAGTTCACTGGAGCAACAGCTGCTGCATGTTTAGCATTCATATTTCCAGCCTCCATCACCCTTAGGTGAGTTTGGTGCTAAATTCTTTTAGTTCAGTAATGCATTTGGTTACATGGTTTTTCTGTTCTCTCCGTAGATAAGTACTAGTAGTTGTGATAAATGTACTTGGTCGTAGGATTTTGTTCTTTGACTTGCACACTGAAAATAACTATCCAGGGAATATGCCAGTAGCTAGGCATGGCAACGGGACGGGGCGGGGCGGGGGCTGGTTTTATGTTCCCCGCTCCCGTCCTCACAAATTTAAACCACCCCCGTCCCTGATACCCACTAGGGTTAAAATATGGGTATCCATCCCCGTCCCCGGCGGTGTTCGGGTTTCCCCACCCCGGCCGCTCCTACCTTTTTTTTTTCTTTCTTTTCATTCCTTTTTTCTTTTAAATAAATATGAAAAAATTTAAAAAAAAAATAAAAAAAAAATAATACAAATTTTTACATATAAATATTTCTAACTTTGGTTTATATATATATAAAAATAATTTTTTAATTATATTATTAAGCGGGGCGGGGGCGGGGGCGGGTATTAACGTCCCCGTCCCTGTCCCGATTTTATCAATCAACCCGAACCCGAACCCGATAAATACGGGTTTTCCCATTCAAATCGGGGTGGGTTCAGGCGGGTACCTACGGGAGCGGGTTAGATTGCCATGCCTACCAGTAACCTACTTTATATGAAAAATACTAACATGATTCTAAGAGCATCACAATGCAAGTTGTGTAACTATGTATCTTATTTTACTTTATTGAGTCCTACATTATCACATTACATTTAAGTAACCCATAAGCAACTCATTATATTTTAACTTCAGTGGTAAAATTTTAAGCAATCCTTACTAAATCATTTTTTTTTGGATATAGTTTACCGGTTTCTCCCACTCGTTATCTAAAGTTGATGATATAAAAATGATTTTTTATTTATAATTTATTGTATTTTATATAAGATACAAAGGTTAAATTTAAGATATATTTTGTGTCATGTAAGCCGACTCCGATGGGAATAAAATGAGACAAGGTTGCGTAAACATAAGATACTAGTGTTGTTGATGCTCCAAGTAACGAGAATCCCAGACATAACAAACTGCAGAAAATATTAGTAGTTGTGTTGTCCACTGCAAGCATAGCAGTGCACTCTATTAATGATTTAACGATTCTGATGTAGTTATCATTCCCTTATGTAGCAAACAATTCTAGAATGAGCAGTGTCTATTAGGCACAAGCTAGTGGCAACTGTTAAAAAGCTCAAGACACAAAAATAATAATTGAAAAAGGCATTGATAGGAAAGGCAAAGTGCACTTTGCTTATCTCTACATGTCGAATGAGATTAGTTGATCACTGCTGGCTATTGGATACCCTTGTGCCCTGTTTGGAACTGTGGAAAGAAAATTAGGTGGAGAGAAAGTTTTAAATTGAGTCGAAGAGAAAATAGAAAGAGAAAAAATCTTGAATTTTTCTTTCAGAAAGTTAATTTTCCTTTTTTTTCCCCTCTCCATTTTCTCTTCAGCTAAACAAATGAAAATACACTATTATATGCATTTTATTTCCTTTCTCCCGAACATATGATTAGTGTACACCTAAAGAATGAATTAAAAAAGTGTACACAAAGAATAAAGATAACAAAATCCTTGATCTTGTGTTTTTCATTGATTGTGCTTAACAGCCACTTTGTCATGCATGAAAAACTGCTTGATGTTATGCTTCTGCAGCTATTTAAAATCAATTCAACATTATCATTAAAGTTTGTTATTTTTTACTATAGGGATCGGTACCATATTGCAACTAGAAAAGACAAGATTCTATCTATCTTTATGATAGCCCTCGCACTCTTGGCGAATGTTGTGGCTATATACAGTGATGCCTTTTCCTTGATCAAGAACAGTATAACTAAACGTGATTGATTTCTTGAAACTTTCTCTAGAAGTCCACAGTTTCAGATATGTTCATGGTTTCACATGAAGGAGTGGCAGGGCTTTTGAGAGTGTCTGATTGATGGGTTGATTGTGAAATAAATAAAGAAGCTACCCTGTGTACAGTTGTTCTTCAAAATTGTGTGAAGGCCTTCAACATGTTCAGACTCTTCAGAGCCTCCTTTGTGATGTTGTGCACTTTGCTTTTATAGTTCTAGAGGTTCTGTTTTGTTTTTTTGTTTTTTGTATTTTTTTTTATATTTAAAAAAAAAAACTGAATGATGCTTTTGAAAATGTTTGTTAATAGTTTGTAATTGTATTGTACATTTGCTTGCCTAGAAATACAACATTTTGGGCTCTTCATGGTATCGCCCTAGTCCGATTAAATGTTTCTTTTTCTTTTCAAATATATCTCTATTAGTTAATAATACACTCAAAGGTCTTGGTACTATAGTAACCACTCATCCCGTCCCCCACCACACTTGTTATATATCTAATATAGAGTAAATGATCAAATTAGTTTTTATAATTTTATGTTATTTCAATTTACTCTTTGATTCTAATTAAACTAAAACAAAATCCTTAAAAATATAATGTCATTTATTTAAGTTCTTTTATTAAATAAGTTATGTTTTTTTACACAAAAGTGTACATGAAACAATAGTACAATATGACATATATGTGATATGTATGTGGAATGATATATGTTACATGGGTGTGTTAAGTGACATATGACTATAAAACATAATATTATTTTAATTTTTGAAATTGTAATATTATGTCACTTTAGTGTGTGAATTGTAACTCAAACTTTATCTCTTAAATTTTTAACTTGATATCATTTTAATCCTCAAACATTATCATAATTTTATTTTAATTAAGTAATTATGATTTGAATATTTTAAAAATAAAATAGGTAATTAATTTAATATTGTAAATAAGATGATAAATATATTCAAAAATAGATAGTTATTGTTAAATATATAACTTATATATTTAAAATAATTATTTATTCAAATTTTATATATAATTTATATATTCAAGTATAATATTTATTTATTTATATATATAATTTACTTTAAATTTTAGTTATATATAATAAATATTTAACATGTGCATTGTATATATTAAAATACTAGTTTTTATTTTAAATATGCTATATGTTTTTTTCTAATTGTCAATTTCCTCCATCTTATATCCATTTTATTTTCCAAAATACTTGAATAAATACATTTTCTAATTTCTCTATATTTATATTTTATTTTCATAATTAATTCTCTTATATAAATTATTTCTTATTTTTCTATTGTGAAAAATATCTATTACTTTCATTTCCCAAAAATTACATGTTTTTATGGCTTTGATATTCTATTTTTTATTTTAATAATATATATTGGAAATTTTTTTATTTGTATTATAAAATAAATTAAATAAAAATAATAAAAATTTGACAATTGTAGGATGAATATATTTATCATTGTATTTACAAAATTAACTTAATTATCTATTTTATTGTGTAAATATTCAAGTCATAATTACTTTATTAAAATAAATTTATGATAAAATTTGGACATTAAAACATATATAAATTTAAGACATAATATTTAAACTAAATTAACCAAAAAAAATTAGTAGAATATTGAATCTCATATAAAATAAAAATAAAAATCAGGGGGAATTACTTGATCTCAAATAGAACGTGTAACACCCTAAATTTTCTAAAATAATTAAAAAGTTGTTTTAATTAATTAAAAGCGATTTTATAAAATAATTTAGAGGCTTTTGAAATAATTATGATCATTTTTAGTTAATAAAAAATATTTGTGAAATTGTTTTGTTATAGTAATTATTTTGAAGAAATATGTGTTTTAATTAATTATTTAATTTAGTGTATATTAGAAATAAGCGTTTTATATTATGAAATATTTAATTATGTTTTTGTTTTTAAAAAAAATAAGGGAATGATTTTTTTTTGACACCATAAGGGAAAGAATTATTTTGTTATAAAAGGGGATTTTTAAGTATAAATGGTTCACACTTCTTATTTTTTACACTTATGGTTTCTCTCTATGCTCTAAAGAAACTAAAGAATTGCTTAAATATATGGAAGGTGATCACCTTGTAGACTTGTGTTTGTCTACTAGTGTTCATCAAGGTAAGATGGAAGTGAATAGTTTCGCTTTAGGGTATGAATTGTATGTTGGATAGTAAAATTGGTCTCAAACGCTTTTTTGTTCTTGCATGTTGTGAAGAAGTAGAAATCTCAATTCTATTATGTAATATGCAAATTTGCATTATTTATGATGATCGATAATTATGTGCTCAATTTCGTGTTAATTGATGTAATTGTGAACTTATGGGTGCCTATAATTCCTATAAGAACCCTAAGTATACAGTAAAGTAAATTAGTAAGTTATAATGATGTTTTGGATGTAATGATGTTTAATTGGTGGCTTAATGGAGTGGATTTAGACTTTTAATCTATGATTCTATCAATTGGATAATCACTTTTGTCGAAATATGGTGATGTGATTAGGCAAAATGTTCAAATAATCGAAGTTCGTTATGCCGAATCACATCACAAGTGTGACTAGTGTGTCACGATTGTGATGCGTTCTGATCTTGACCCCTTTTTAGAAACATCGAACCAATTATGAGCATGACTAGTGAGTCATAGTTGTGATTGGTGAGTTAAGGGCATGATCGACAAGTCATGGTTGTAACTGGTGAGTAATAGTTGTGACATATAATGTTACTTATTTTTCTCCTTCTTTCCTTATCTTTTCTCCCTTTTATCATCTCCATTGCTTCATGAGTTATATTTATGAGTTTGAGATAACATAAGGATGATTAGTTTAAGGATATGATATGCTTATTAATAATGACAAGGAAGTAATTGAGTTAATGCGACAATTATAGTAGTGACACATGTTCTTATACTAATTGGCATGACTTAGGATCATGATTCATAATAATAATAGTGATACGATAATGATTAAAGGATGAGTTGAGTGACTAGTTTAAAACTTGATCTTAAATATTAGGACTTGCAAATCGAGGTATACGTGATGATGACGTGATATGTTTTTGTTTGTAATAATATGTGATGTGTGCACCATGTGATGTTCATGTGACATGAAGTCTAAGTTAAAACTTAGTAAGGATAAAGTTTTGGAATGTTGGCCTAGTAGTGATATGAGTAATTTGTATAATGTGTACTTGTGATATTGTGATAACATGATAATTGCATCAAATCTTGTGTGACACACATCATAAGCATAAAATATTTTTGTGATAGGTAAGATATGGAATACGCTGCCAAGGAAGGTCCTCCTTATGTGAGCTTGGAGATTCATAACCTCGGGGACAACTGGGTGTGGGAGCCTTAGTTTCACCTGTTTGTGTGCATGTGATAAAACTTGCATGACACAATTATCCTGACATACCTTGGTGCATATCCTCCTAGTGTAAAGTGTTGTAATGGTTTGATCTAACATGTTCTTCTAGGCTACTCTTATGTGCCTTCAGAAAATTGTATAGGGTTAAAATATTTTATTGGCTCCACATGCATATTGTACAACGAAGTCTGTGTCCATTGCATTTCGTGTATTCACGTGTAATTGTCTATTGAACTATGTTGTGATTTCATGACTGAGTATATTGTGCTTATATCTAAATTGTTATACTTTAATATGTGTTTGGTTAGACAACTATATCTTACTCCAGTAGTCAAAGTGAGATGTTTTTCACTCTGTTTTCTTTTGTTGACATTCTTATGTATATTTGCAAGCGTTAAACCATCAAAATGCTACATTTTGGGATAATATTCATTGATATTTTGCCTTACTTTACTATTAATTTTATGATAATACTTTTTTTTTCGTTAAGTAAACAAAAAAAGGACAAATCAAATTTAGGTGAAATATGCACAATTAAGTAGCAAATACACCATTTCTACATGCTTGGTTGGTTGATGAAGCACACCTTTTCCTTAAAGCACGCTTGTATTTCCTTCCATCGTGTTGTGAAACACGATCGTGTTTACTCATATGCACGACCATGCTTGGCTGATTAACACATCCCAACTTGTTGAAAAAGTACGCTTGTGTTCCTTCTACCCTACACTGAAGTTTGTCATGAGCACGATTGTGCTTCCCTTATGCACGAGAGGCTTAAAAGTTAGTTCTTATATAAAAAATTTAAAAATCATTTGATATTTCGTTTCATTAATTCAAATTAATGTATAAAATGATTATATGATTATCCTTCAATTTGAATTAATGAAACAGAGTATCAAATGATTTTCAAATTTTTTTAAAATTTTCATATTTGATCTATGCATTAAGAACTTTAAATTCAACGGTTGGATCGTTAAAATTTGATGTAGAACATGAGTTATTGAATGGAATAAGTTTAGGTAGACTTACTCCTAGAGTAATATATATATATTATAAATAGAGACGTCTATGCCATCCAATTTTCATCTACTTTTATCTAGTTTTAGCTCTATTTTCTCTTATATTTTCCTTTCCCTCTTATATTCGTTATTGAGGTTTTATAAGAGGCTAAAGGCCAAACCCCCAAAGAAGGATTCTTCCAATTACTATTAATTGTTTTCCTTTGTCTAATGGATTCTATTAGCATGCCTAGATAGTTCTCTTATTATAGAGTTATAATGTAATTGTTCCTTGTGAACCCCCAATAATGAATTCATGAATTATTTCTATTAATTGTCAAATTATTTTAGAATATTATTTCTTCATAAGTTAATTAGAAATTCATGATCAAACTCTTTTAATTAACAAAAACCTATAGTAATTGAATTAATGAAAATTAACATGATCAAGTTTTTTCTTAATTACCAATGGAATTAATTTTTTGATTCACTTCTGGGTGCATATGCTTTGTCTCTTACAATCTGTTTGGGTTTTTCTTAAGATAAAGATTGTTAGCTTCTTGGAACCATAGAGTTGTCAACAATTTCATAAGTAAAATTGATGACATTGTTTTATAATTTTTGAACTTTATCTTGGAGGGAATCAAAAACAATAAGTTACAACTTTAGGACATTTATCTCTGAACTTTAATAACAATTTTCCAATCCTTGTTTTCATTTATTAATCAATATTCTTTCAATCAAATTCTATTTCTTCAAACTGCTAAAAATCAAGATTAAGTTGGTAATTAGGTCAAAAGGTAATCTTATATCCCTCAAGTTATAAGTTTTAATGATAACAAACATAGATGTTTTTCTATAAAATTGTTTTTCAGATCATTCCTTAAGATGAATGAGTATGAGACAAATGCACTAAGACGATTAGTTATCTTGACATAAAAAGTCTAACAAATGAAACAATTCATATGTAAGACATTAATTTCAAATTCAT